AACAAATGCATAAGGGACCACAAAAATAGGGATAATGCTTATGACAGTCAAACATTCAATTGGAACACACAAAAAAACAACCAGTACAATTCTACAATGAACAACTTCTAAACAACAACAACAAACAATCTCACATGCAAAAGCCAGTATAAGGTTTTATAGTCGACACCCAGATCAATGCTATGCAAGCAGTGTGCTGTGGGGAGGGTGCTTAACTCCCCTGGGGAAGCACCAGGGGCTGGCACCAAGCTCTTTTGGAGTACAGTAGCTGCAGAGGATGGCATCTGCCTTGCGAGAGGGTTGGCTGAGGGCCTTTGTCCCAGGCCTGCAAGGAACTCCTGGAGCAGGAGCCCACCAAGACTGCTCAAGGGCAGAGCTTGAGGGACCATGCAAGTCTTGCCCTGGAGTGGAGTCACGCTGCTGCTGCTGCTTCTGGAGTGCATGTTTGCTCTCAGGGCTCATCTGCAGCTTCTCTTTTCCCAGGTGCTGCTGGACTTCACCAACTCTGACACCACTGTAGGAAACGGGTTTGGGAATCAAGAGATGACCCAATTTGAGTTAGCTGCTTGTTCCAACTTTATTACAATCTTAGCTACATTTTTATAGTATTTTGAAAAGGTAACATGCCATCTATATCCTATTATGATTGGAAAATTGCTATTTTTCATGTGTTGACTTCTACATTTCTATTGGTCCAGCTTATAACACCCGAGCTCTGTAAGATACTTTTTAGTGAAACTTATTAAGATATATTAAGCAGTTATATAGGATACATTCTGCAGAATTCACATCCTGACAAACTTCATAAGATACATTCACAAGATACATTTAGCTGATTTATCATCCTAAATTATCAGCTATTCTTCATTGTCTTATTAACAATTAGTCTTCTTCATTTCTTTGATACAATATTTTGCCAAGGACTCATGCTAGCTCAAAGTCAGGGTTGTGCAGGCCTTCTAAGGAGCTATGGCCTCGAGAAGCAAGCCATTCTTCAACACACCACTGCTGTGCAGAAGAGGGTCTGAGAGAGGATCAGGAATCTGAGTCATGGGCTGGCTGACATTTCCAAATGCAAGGTAAGGTTCAGGCAGTTTCCAGCCAGGCCATGCTGCCCACCCTGCAGCTTTCCCCATAAGGCTGCTGTCCAGCTGGCTGCTTCTGAAGACCCACAGGGTCTTTCACAGCATGGTTTCACCTGGATCCAGTCCTGAACCCTGCTGTTAAAGAAGCTTCCCTGTCTGACCATCCAGGAAGCACTCTGGCAGTCACATTCACACCACCTGAGCTGGGAATGAAGCCCCTTCACAGCTATACTCCTCACACTGTCAGACCAGGATTTCAGCTCAACCCCAGGTTTCCCATAGCAGATTCTCAGACATCCATGTCCTTCAAACAGCTTAATTGTGGTGCAATAACTAAATAACAACAGCTCCAGCTGGTGCCTCTGAGAAGGGACCCTGAACAAAGGAACCCCTGAGCTTTCATACCCTCACAGCTTCAGTGTCTTGGGGGGGGGG